TAATTTTTAAAATAATAATAATATTATTATTAACATATATTTTAATACAAAAAAATTATTTAAAAGCCATCAGTCAATCCTATAGTATCCTATAGTGGTTCTTGATGACATCAATTAATGAAGATTGCAGTGGCGAAGACTGTTTTATTACGAGTGAAGCTCTTAAAAAACATTTTATTGTTCTAATTTTTTTTTAATTGGAGGATAAATTAATTATTTTATTGTTTTTAAAAAGTAAAAAGACACCTGTACCCCTAACAATTCTTTAATAACTAGTCATCGTGGAAATGACTGTATTATCCCCCAACATCAACTGACATCATTTTTCCTTAAAGAGCAAAATCATAATCTTGCTATACCAATGAATAGTGTTTTGTGTTTGAGGCACGTTTCTAATGTTAATTATTTTGAAAGTAAATAGGTCGGTTGCCTTGTTTGAAACTAGAGACATTGGCTGCTAAATAGAAAAACCCGTCTCCTTGGTCAGGTCAACATGGAAAAGGGATAGCTTAATAATTAATTAACACCATACTGCAACGGGAAGCTGTCCACTGCAACTGGAAGCGGATCAGACACTGTTGGCAATTTACTGTCATTATCTTTCTTTATCCATGTGCAAGGGGTCAGATGAGACACGGTTCTCCGTTTTGAAATGTAAAAGTTGCTCCAAGTTGCCCTATTTACGAATAAAACAGAGTTGCCACTGTTGATTTGCTTCTTGAAATGATTTACAGATGAGACACGGTTCACCATTTTTTTAGCAAAAAAGCAAGTGGGTTGAAATGTGCAAACGCCAACACAGGAAGTAATCAAACCCAAAGATAGAAGGGAGCACTGTCATTATTTAGCAAATCCAGCGAAAGTAATCTTGTGACTCTCCCAGTGACAAGTGAATTTAAAAGATGCTCCAAGTTGCATTATTTAAGAATAAAATTTGTGTTGCCATTGTTGACTTGTTTCTTGAACTGATGTCCACTTGACTCTTTTTTTATTTATTTAAAGACTCGACATGCCATGTAGGCTAATTGGCACTCTAAAATGCATGCACCATCAAGACCTGCATAATATAGAAATTTAGCTATTTTTCTTTCGGTTTATTTCTTCAAGTAATATTTTGTTTCTGTGAATATGGCTACTGGGCAAGCACCAGGCAACCCCATTCCAGCAATGAGAAAATACCCGCCGGTGGAGCATCCAGTGGTGGTAATAGGGCCACAGTACCTGGCACAGTACCCTGTTGAACTCGCCGTCAACAGTGATTTTAAGGTGTCTGACATTAATAGCACCCTCATCTTCCAGGTCAAGATTAAACTATTAAGCCTTAATCGTCGTTTTCTGAAAGATGCAGCCGGAAACACCGTTGTCAATCTCAGGAAGAAGGTATGTTTAATTGCTCTCTGTCATTTGTTCTCTTCTTTTTCAATCTAACCATCACAACAGCGATAAGAGTCAATCCGATATCAATTTCTTACCGCGTGTTTAATTTATCATTTTCTCCAGGCAAGGACCATGCATGGGAGGTGGGAGGCTTTTAGAGGAGAAGGCAAGGAGAAGCAGGATTTGCTTTTCACAGCCAAGAAATCAAAGCTGTTCCAATCCGAGAGTGAGTTAGACGTATTCTTGGGTAATAACGAAGGAGAGGTCCCTGATTTCAAGGTCAAAGAAGGCGACAGCAAGAGTTCCTGCTCTATACTTCTTGGAGATTCCAATACCATGCTTGCACGGGTAACATTAACAAAACTTATTTCTGAAATATGTCAATATTGAATAAATTTAACCACCATCATCTTCTCATATAGAACTATATGCCTGTGGCTGAGGCCGTCGAAGAAATACCCCAGATTTCATTACATCATTTACATTAAAACCGATTATTGTTTTAATCAAGAAAGCTGTCTTCATAATTAATATCTCATGCCCGTATTTTTCTTATTATGTGAACGCAGGTGCATGGAAGACACACTCTCGCGATTATGCCTAATGTTGATTATGCCTTCATAGTGGCTCTTGCGGTGATAATTCTCCACGGGATCAATGCGAATGATCATGGGGACGAGGCCATTAACGTCATTAACGGCATTAACGGTGACAAATGGATATATATGGTTATATTTTATATTCATAGCTCACATTATGAAATGCAAAAGATGCTCCAAGTTGCATTATTTAAGAATAAAATTGTGTTGCCAGTTACTTCTATTACCACCATCAAGACCTGCATAATATAGAAATTTAGCTATTTTTCTTTCGGTTTATTTCTTCGAGTAATATTTTGTTTCTGTGATTATGGCTACTGGGCAATCACCAGGCAACCCCATTCCAGCTGTGAGAACATACCCGCCGGTGGAGCATCCAGTGGTGGTAATAGGGCCACAGTACCTGGCACAGTACCCTGTTGAGCTCGCCGTCAACAGTGATTTTAAGGTGTCTGACATTAATGGCACCCTCATCTTCCAGGTCAAGAGTAAAATATTAAGCCTCCATGATCGTCGTTTTCTGAAAGATGCAGCCGGAAACACCCTTGTCAATCTCAGGAAGAAGGTATGTTTAATTGCTCTCTGTCATTTGTTCTCTTCTTTTTCAATCTAACCATCACAACAGCGATAAGAGTCAATCCGATATCAATTTCTTACCGCGTGTTTAATTTATCATTTTCTCCAGGCAAGGACCATGCATGGGAGGTGGGAGGCTTTTAGAGGAGAAGGCAAGGAGAAGCAGGATTTGCTTTTCACAGCCAAGAAATCAAAGCTGTTCCAATCCGAGAGTGAGTTAGACGTATTCTTGGGTAATAACGAAGGAGAGGTCCCTGATTTCAAGGTCAAAGAAAGGTACAGCCAGAGTTCCTGCTCTATACTTCTTGGAGATTCCAATACCATGCTTGCACAGGTAACATTAACAAAACTTATTTCTGAAATATGTCAATATTGAATAAATTTAACCACCATCATCTTCTCATATAGAACTATATGTCTGTGGCTGAGGCCGTCGAAGAAATACCCCAGATTTCATTACATCATTTGCATTAAAACCGATTATTGTTTTAATCAAGAAAGTTTTCTTCATAATTAATATCTCATGCCAGTATTTTTCTTATTATGTGAACGCAGGTGCATGGAAGACACACTCTCGCGATTATGCCTAATGTTGATTATGCCTTCATAATGGCTCTTATGGCGGTGATTCGCGACCACATCAATGCGAATGATCATGGGGACACGGCCCTTAACGTCCTTAACGGCATTAACGGTGTTCTCGAAGGATTTGCTTCATCGGGGTAAAAAACACAGTCCATCGGTAAAAATCACCGACATAAACTGTTTGTTGACATTTAGATCACTAGTAATTTTTTTTTTTGTTGTTAATTCTATCGATAAAAAAAATAAACACCCACAGTGGTATAGACAGAAAAAACATGCTAGAAAAAAAATCCACTAAAAATATACAAACGGAATACTAGACTCTTTATTTCCAGTGGCAACTCAAAACCGAAAAAGTTTCATCGATGAATGTAGCATAAACAGTCAATATTTTGTAATTCTTTGTAAAATACTAATGGTCTTTGGCCGTTGGTGTAAATGTTGATGATAGTAGCATATGCAGTAAATATTTTTCAACTCTCTATAAAATACCAATTATATAAATAAAATTGTATAAAACATTAAAATATAAAAATAAAGTTAAATCATATTAATCCAAATATTCATTACAAATTTTATGTGTTTTCAAAAAAAAAAAAACTAGAACAATGACAGAATTGGAGGAGAAGATTGGTTGTTTCCGGGACTAAACGACAAAAAAAGGGACGCGCATGTATCACCCATCTGTGATCTAATGTCCATAACCATTTGGTGTAGTTGTTCATAATCCTTCGAGAGTCGCTCGTATTGTTGTTTCAAGGCTATGAACTCCTCAAACTGGGTGCTTGATACTAATTGGAAGCTCCCAACGGTTGAGACCCTATAGGCCGCTCGCAAGTTCTCAGCCGTAGTGTTAGAAAGTCCGTACATCCGATTTTTATCGGATCCACCAGACGATCCTACCTCCATCCACAAATCTAAATTGAAACCCGGATGGGTCAAAGGATCATCCTCGTATCTCTCCCTCAACTGGTTATTATAGATCTCCTAAAAACTAAAAAAGAAATCATCTTATTCAATTCAAGAAAATAATAACTTATGAAATAAAATGGTTGAACAAACATACCATGAAGTGTTGAGCGCGGTTGTCCTCGAACTGTTTCACCCTCTTTTGGTGGTCTTCACTTCATACATGCATCGCTATAAACAACTCCATTAGGCTCGGCTCATGTCCAAGAGATGTAGCTTGTAAGGAAAAAAAAATGTTGCAAGTTAAATGTATTTATAAGTAATAAAAAATTAATTAATGATATATTTCATTTAAATTAATCTTACCATCCACTTCGCATGTACATTATACGAAATGGAGCTGCCAATGTGCGTGGTTACCGAATCATGAATTTGCTAGTTCTAGTTATCGGCACCGGACTATAAGCATCGTGTGAACCACTCAGACTTCATGTGCTCAATATATTGTGGCCATATATCCCTCAGGATGTATGGTGGTTTGAAATCCCTCCAAACTATCATGTCATTTCAGCAATGTAGATCGTTATCTCTTGTATATTTTCTGGCTTTTTTTTTGTGTTATACCAAAAATCACGCAACCTACTTCCATAGTGACAAATTAAATTTTAAAACAAAACATTGTATTGTTTTCGATGTTACCTATATGCAACATGATTCTTCCACACCGTCTTTATAACATTGTCATACACGTTATCCCACTCGAACTTATGTTGTGTATAAGTAATTTATTTAAAATAAAAATAATACAAGATATAAAATTATAAAAATAATTTATTAAAGATAAGTTGGAAATTAGAAGTTAACACCTACCTGTAATCTTCGAAACCATGCATCGATATAAAGTGTCCAATTAGGATGTTTGGAAAGTTGACTCTATTGAAATAATATAATCTCCATCAATGATTTAAACGTTGATGTTATTACTTGGACGGTCTCAATGTTTGTGAACCTGAAAATAAATGCAAATAATAAAATATTAATTAGTTGTTCATAAATTATGTTATAAGTATAAAAAAAAACTAAAATCAAAACAAACTTATATTGAAAGGTCATCCTTCCCATGCGCTTGATACTTATGAGTGAATTAACCCCACTATGAAGGCACACCACCTCTACAATATGAAACCACGCTAGAAGAGGCAGTATCGCGAGTGGGCGTAAGTGTCTCTTCTTGATCACCACCTAAGGATAAGTCATCATCGCTGCTTGGAGAACTAGTTACAACTATTTGCTGACGACGTATTGTTGATTTCATTATATGCATTTACACAAATTTATATGCATAATTACATAATTAAATTTGATTATTTTAAAAAAATTAGCAACACCTTTCCTATACTGGAGACTACCTAAAGTTTTCAAACCTGCAAATATTGATAATAGCCACAAACCAATTGACTTCATTGCAAAATCTTATATATAACCTAGCAACTATACAAATTTAACAATAAAATAAAGCAAAGAAATGACATTTAATTTTATATATTCAACTAACATCCATAGAAATTCATCATTAATAATTAAAATTAATGGAAGTAATGAAACACATATCAAGCAATAATAGAGTAAAATTGAGATAAAATAATTAATTTTAATCCTATATTTTCAATAACTATTTACAAGTAAATTAAAGAATAACCATTAAAATTCAACAAGATAATCAATTATTATGGAAATAAAAACAATAAAATAGGCAACAAATTAAAAAAAACTATAGGTTTTAGGAATGAAAAATACTTATCTTAATAGTATATTTATTTCTAGACTTTATCTATATACAATACAAAATAAAGAACAAAAATACATTGCTATTTTTATATATTTATATTGTTATAATGTATTAATATGAAAAATATTTTTTAAAAAAATATTATTTTAATATATTAATAAATTAAATATATTTTAAAAAACAATCTGATCATCGTACAAAACATCCCCAGCAACAATCTCAATACAGGGGGCTACAAAGGAAGGCGAACACATCACTTGCTAAGTAATGAGATTGGTATTTTGAAAAGTCAAATGTTTATTAGGAAATGTTTGATAATACAATTTCAAAAGTCAGGGGGTCAATAATTCCATGAAGGAATACTAATAGAAGAATAAGACATGATGTTCTTTCCTGCCTCCATCATTGCCATTAATTAGTAAGAGTAGTATTATTGTCCGAAAAGAAACAAAGGTTATACAAGAACTTGATCCACGCTTACTATATATAATGTAAATTAAAAAATTATTCTAAATTTTGTCTTAGATTTCCTCTCATCCACTTAAAAAACACAAGGAAATCAGCGCCTATGCTCAGGCTCGAGGTGAACATGGGTTTAGGTAAAATTATAAATGGAGTTTTTAACCAAAAAAATTAAGAAATATTTTTTTATTTTTATATGTATATATAAAAAGTGGAGTCTTGAGCAATTTTTATTTTGTATTTGAAGTCCTTTATTAAGTTATGGAAATCTTTATTTTTAAAAAATATAATTGATAAATATACCTTACTTGAAAATCTTTATTTTTTAAAAATATAATTGATAAATATACCTTATTATTAAAAACGTTTATTAAGTAATGACCTTGAGTCCATAACGAATAAAATTTAGATTGTCAAGCAGATATATTCAGTCCATAACGGATTTTGTTAAGCTTGGAGAAGGAGGTGAGTAGGGGCCATTACTAATAATTCAATCCACAACTATTTTATTAGGGTCAAGCAGATATAAGGTGTGTATGGAGATAAATTAACTATTCTAAATTGCGTACTACAAAATTCTATAATATTTAGAGTTTTTTTTTATTTTTACAGTCGAAAAATACTATTGAAAATTTTAAATTTTTATTTATATTTTAAATGAATTTTTTATATTTTTATATGTCAACACATCAAAATAATTAAAAAAATATTAAAAAATAAAAATTTTATATTTTTTTCAAGTAAAAAATACTTTTAAAATACATAAAAAAAATAGAAGTTAATGCGCTATTAAACAGTCACTTAATTAGAAACCATTCTATCATGATTAGGGTCTATTTGGAAGTTTGATTAATATTGTTTTTTAAAGTCAAAGTGTTTTTTACTTGAAAATACATTAAAATAATATATTTTTATTTTTTAAAATTTATTTTTGATATTGACGTATTAAAATGATAAAAAAATCAAATTTTTAAAAAAATATGATTTGCGCACATTCTCAAACACATTGTTGGACTTCATTTGCATTAGAATTTCAACAAAATTTAAACTTTTTTATTAAAATTAATTTTGTTATGTTTGTAGTCATTTTAATGTGTTGATGTCCATAATCTTTTTTTTTTAAAAAAAATATTTTAATTTATTTTCTAGCAAAAATATATTTTGAAAAATAATAGTTACAATACTTAGAAACACCTTTTAACCATATATATATATATATATATAATAAAACAAAATGCAAAGAAAAATCAAGGAGAGGTGAGGTGACACCAAGAAAAGCAAGAGGATAAATGATAAATGAATTGGGTCATCTGATTTTCAAGATGAAAAACTCAATAATAGCTTAATTATAGCAACATGAAATCTCTATTTTTATTATTATTGACTTTAAAGTTAAGCCCCTGTTTAGCATTGAAATTAAACTTTATTTTCATTAAAATTATAAATTTTGTTATTTTTAATTTACGCGAGACTAGATATAATTTAATTTGATATCAATTTATTATCGGGTGTTTAATTTATCATTTTCTTCGTATAAACCCATGCTTCGAAGATGGGAGGCTTGTAGAGGAGAAAGATTTTTAATATTACTTTTTTAGAGAGACAGCTTTGTAAATAGAAAAATAGGGACTTGTTGACCATATATTAATCACCGGCTTTAAAGTTAAATAGAATGAAACAACAGTCCCTCAACTTGCAAGTGTTTTTCACTTTAACCTTTAACTTTTTTAATTAGCATTATAATGTTACTAATAAATTTAGTTTTTAACCCTTGAATCCAACGGATCTTCCTGAAGCATTACATGCTAATAGATAAAAGAATCATGCTAATAGATAAAAGAATTGTAATTGAAGAAATAAATTAAAAACAAATAAAACTTTTATAAAAGATTAAGAACAAAAACTAAAAATCAAAAGAATATGGACTCAAATTGAAATACAAAAAAAAAAAATTGACCTTTACCTTTTAGAGATGACCATGAGTGACAAATTGTTCGTCTTTGCTCTTAAGTGCCACATCAAGAGGAAAAATTTGTGGCATCGCTTATGAAAGGGTAGGTATGTCCAGTGAGAGGCATTGCATGCACCGCACGAAGAGCGTGGGCACCTCTCATGTATTGGCACGGTGTGAGCATGTGCTAGCCTCTTTTTTAATTAAAAAATCATTAGTTCAACATTCATTACTAGAAATTCGCTTAATACCAATGACATTACCGATAGACTTCACTGACGTGGAAGTTTTTGCGAGTGATTTACCGATGGAATCACTAAAGGATTCAAACCGGAATCTCCGTACAGTGACGTGATCGATTCACCA